ACTGTCGTTTTTCGGGCAAAGAAATGTGTAACAGTTGACGAAATCTCGACAGGACTTTTATTACAATATTCGACTCTTACAATTCCATCTCGACGGTCACACCACAGCAAAAACTTCAAATGCAAATGACAGAACAAACACCAGGAAAATAGAACTCGATCAAAGAGAAATTTATTGCTGAAACTCCAAATTAAGGAGTATATATAGACCCAAAATTCATCAAATTAATTAATCCTCCTACAGTTCTTCCTGATCTCGCCGTTGGATCCGGTGAGGGGCTTGATGTCGCCCATATTGATCATGGAGGCCACAAAGTCCTTGAAGAAGGTGCCTTGGCTTTTGGCGTAAGTCCTGACGAGTGAGTCGGTGGACCCGCCGTTGAAGAGCTGTTGGTCAGAGTGAAGGAGGCCTCGTTTCTTGACGAGGTTGACGTAGTAGTTGTTGTCGAACGATGTCGCGCTCTGGAAGTCAAGGCCGGCCAGGTTGTTATCGCCAACGCCGGTCATGCGTGGGCAGTTGCTCTTCGTCGTTCGGGCAAATGAGCTGTCGATGTTGCTCTCGTTGTAGATCCTGGCCCGGAAGTTTGTGCATCTCGCTTGCCCAATTGTGTGTGCTCCTGCGTATTTAAGAGCAAGAGAACATACAAACAAGTATTAATTAGAGTAGTTTGGATCTTATAAAATTCTAAGGGTGATGAGGGGGAACCAATTAAAGTGTAGAATTGCATTAACATTTGTGTGTTCTTTAGCAGGACCAGTGTGGATCTCATAAATTCTTGAAATGTGATCAACTAGATTTAATAGATTTGGTTTATGGAGTAGTCGCTGGTGCGAAATCATTTCCTCATGGATTTTTGCAAATTACCAAATTTTTCTCGATCGAGAGAGAGAGAGAGAGAGAGAGAGAGAGAGAGAGGAAATTCACCGTATAGTGCGACGAGGTCCTTTTGAGAAAGGCCATGATTTTGGAAGCTGGAAATGAGAGCGTTGAGGTTATTAGTTGGAGGAGGGATGCTGTTGTTAGCTGCTGCCTGGCTCGCAGTTCTCGCATCTCTCCTTCCCAGCTTGACATCCCACCCTGGCCCTCCCAGCTGCCCAAATTCATTCGCAACAAATTATTACTCATCCAAAATAATCAGAAGCTTTCGTCTCTTCTGTTCCATAGCTAGTCGAGTTCCAATGACTTACTGTCTCAACGGAGTCTCGGGAGATAATCGCCAACAAATCAGCACACGAGACGACGCCGGGGCACACTTTCTCTACCGCGGACTTAATCTTGTCCACCACATCGAACCCTCGCAGGGAATTTTTGTTCGGGGCAGCATTCTTCTCTCCGGTGAAAGTGGGCGTGTCGTCCAAGAGGTTCGATCCGTCGCAACCCTGATAAATATACCATGAACATCAATGAGGCAATGACTTTGGTTTGTATTTACTTAGCCAAACTCTTTCTTCGCTAAGAGCATTGATAGCTTTTTCAATTGTAAGAAACGTGAATGTATGAATTGGTCTTAAGTATTGGGGAATAATGTTGAGAAGTTAAAGTGGATGAGAAAGAGAAGTTACGTTGACGAAGCAATCGTGGAAGAACAAGCGGGTGAGCGAGGCACCCATGCGGGCCTCTTTGGCAATCGCTCCATGCACGATTGACTTCACCGTCGGGAAGAGTTGGGGGCAAGTTTTGGCGTAGTAGAAGATCGAAAGTTGGGCACTCGTGCCCCCAATGAGGAGCACAACGCAAGCCAAAGTCAAGATGGCCTTCGAAAATGAAGAGGACCAGGCCATTTTCAGCACGCTAATAACGAACTGTGTTGTGGGTGTGATGAAGAAATGACTCGATACGAGTGGGATTATATAGTGGGCGGTTCTCAAGGCGACAAGGGGTTCAGCAGGTGACCTAACACGTAGAGTCATTAAAGTACATGGCGATTCGACGTTCAGAAAGATGAAAAGTCTAGTTTGCTAAAGTACATGGCGAGTCATGAAAGTACATGGCGATTCGACCTAACCAATTTGGATCTTATGTCAAAGACTGATATGAGGTCACTGTTCATAGGTTTGCTAAATGACAATTCACAGTGATTTAATTTTTCTTTAGGTTTAGCTCCACCCAAGTGAGTTTGGTAGAGGAGCTGTGGTGAATAAATCTGACACAATTCAAGGTCGATGAATAGTGTAGATATTCATGTTTATGTCTCATTCTGAAGTATACGCTTCATGGAAATTTGAATGTTGACACGCACGCTTGAATATATAGAGTTTTTCGATACTCTACTTTTTGAAGTCTACCAATTAAGTCACATGATGGTTTAACATGGCCAACATAAAAACTGTCTTACTTGATCTTTCATATTCTTTAGACGTGAAATTCTTAATGCGACAACTTAAAAAAAGTCTAGTTGTTTAGACAAATCAAATTAAATGACCGGCAAACCATATAGATATGTACGAAAGGACACAAATAGCATGAACCATTCATGTGTACACAGCACACAATTTAGCACGAATAAAAACTCAAGACTACCTACTATCATCGTATTAACTAAAAAGAACAATGAAAATCTGGATATTTCTAGCTAGGAAGGGGGGAAATATTACCTACACTTGATTCATAAACACTTTAAGTCACGTACACATATATATTACTACATGTGATGGATCTACGGTTGAATAGTTAATGGTCGTGCCAGCTAAAAGGTGGATGATATACACATTGTGTTCTGATGATGATGGGTGTGGTTTCCTTGGCGTGTGGACATCAACCAGCTTAGCGGGAAGGAGTGAAGCAATTAAAGATCCGTGTGGTATCAATCGTGCTCCATTCTCTCTTCATTCACTCTCTCTCTCTCTCTCTCTCTCTTATATATTTTCCTTATTTTTTTCTTTTTGATTTTCTTCACCATTTCTTTCTCGTTCGGTTCATTACATGGAGTCATTCAAATCAATTATTAATATGACTAGCGTATTGAATATCACATATGGTCTCCATCGTGCCAAAGTTTCTCGAATCCAAATGAGATGTGATGGTATTTGGTCTTAAGTCGTGGTTGCTTGAGTTAGTGGCATCTTCTAGTCCGGGTACAACCCTCCTTGAATTCCACACATTTGTAACACTCTCTCTCTCTCTCTCTCTCTCTCTCTCTCTCTCTCTCTCTCTCTCTCTCTCTCTCTCTCTCTCTCTCTCTCTCTCTCTCTCTCTCTCTCTCTCTCTCTCTCTCTCTCTATATATATATATATATATTATGATGTTTATAAAATATCATATCGTACATTAACGATGGAAATTAGTTTAATTCACAAAACATTTGATTATGATACATGTGCACTTGTGGATGATGCGTAATTTTCTCAATCTAAACATGTCGCTAGAGTACTGTCACTCGAGTAAAAAGTGCATTTTGTAGATGGACTGGTTATAAAACTTAAGATGTGGAACATTTTCATGACCATCGCCAGTGAAAAATCTATCTCCGCAGATAATGCCATCGAATTTAGTTATCTATGTGCGGTTCAAAATCTATTTATGGAACAATTCATTCTCGAATGCATACACGATTAGATATTAACACCGCAAGTGAAGGTTACAATGACCCATCTAAAATAACTTTCCTTAATTTGTGTCACCCTTTCCTTCTATCTTTACCTCCCAAATGGCATAAGATCATGGTTTTGAAGAAACATTTATTTTTCTTTCTGCTAACTATTATTAAAATTCAGTGTATGATGTCGCTGATGAGCAGAGAGAAAGGTCTCCATCTTTCCAAGTTACTTCGGAGAGCATCCATTTGCATATTAAAAATTCTTCTGGGGAATGATGGACATGCTTGAAGGCTTCCTCTTGCTGAGAGACGACATTAAACAATTATACAAAGCAGAAGTGACCTGAGGAAAACCTTTGGAGAATATAGTAAAGTTCTTGACTGCTGGCATTATGTGGGTTGACAACTTCAGAGAATCTCTGATAGATCATTATGTCACCTCATACTATATGTTAAAAAAATAAAATAGAATTAGGGTTTGGGATTTTCATGCGGCGCTTAAATTGCTAACCCAGATTGTTTAGATGAGGACCCCAGATTGGCTCCTCAATTAAGGGTTTACACGTAGGAGATTCCATAAGTATTTATCTATTTTCCTATCAAATGATAAGTGTTAACTCGAGGTCGAGGCAATATATAAGCTAAGGGCCTGCGTGTTGTTATACAATCTTACTCCCTAGGCCATCTGGGGTAGCATCCATCCGTCCATCTCTGCAGGCCGTCCTTGTTTAGAAATCCATGTAATTTATTGCCTTAGCTTGATTGATTTCAATGCTTACATATGGAGCACATCAGCATGATGTTCGAGTTTTTACACACTGATGGACACTTCCTAGCGTCATCACTAAAACCCTAGCTTCCTCTCCAAAGAATATGACAAAAAGACGTCTCAATTTCAACCATATCATGGCACGATGATAGTATCATATGAAATTATGAACGTCGAGCGATATTTGGAAAGTTACGATAGTGGATTTCAAGGTGTAATTATGACCGTTCAATTTGAGAGAAAGGGCTTCGTTGATGTAAATTGCCTTATTGGCTAGTTTTTGACTTGGTTTGTTGTTCGCTTTGATGTAAGTTTAAATGCCTAATTCAAATTGTTGCTCAAATATTTATTGACAAGAAAAGATTGTGCTACTATACCAGATGAGTGCAAAGGCAGGCTGGGCCAATTCATTGGGTCAACTGGCCTTTTCTTCATAATAACGGGCTTACTTTGGTCACGATTTCAATATCGGGCCTTTTCTTCACTCACGAAAGCACTCGCATGTGCTCTTGAAATTTATACGCGTGTCATGAGATAAATGGTATTTATGCAGATTTGTTGAGCCCTAGAAGTGATTGTCAAATTTGAAATTGCATCAAGAATGTAATTACTACCGCAAGAAAGCAGCTTCAAATGCAGGCACCACACCAACCAAAAAGCCCCAAAAAAAGAGAGAGAAAAAGCAAAAAAAAAAAAACAGCAAGAAGAGAAAGAGTCTTCATCAGGCAAGACATTGGGCCTCTCTCCAAATCAAAGGGCCTCAATTGACCCTCCTACAGTTCCTCCGAATCTCACCATTGGATCCGGTGAGGGACTTGACGTCGCCCATCCTTGTGATGGAGACCACGAAGTCCTTGTCGAAGGCGACCGGGCTTCTGCTGTAGAGCTTCACGAGCGAGTCGGCGGGCCCGCCGTTGAAGAGCTGTTGGTCCGAGTGAAGAAGGCCTCGTCTCTGGACAAGGTTGTAATAGCAGCTGTGGTCGAACGTTATCGGGCTACGGAAGTCGAGCGGGGCCAGATTGTCGTCGTCGATGCTGTTGACGCCGGGGCAGCCGAGCTTCCTCGTTTGGGCCAGCAGCACGTCGATGTCGGTCTCGTTGTAGACCCAGTCCCTGAAGTTTGTGCATCTCGATAGTCCAACCGTGTGGGGCTCCTTGAAATGGCGCAAAAAACACGTATTGCATCGAACGAGCTCTTAATCTTATGTTTCCGATTTGAGAAAGTAGATCTTAATCGTACTCTTATGCATCAATCATGCAAGATTAATTACACTAAAATTACCAGCGAAAGCCACAAGGTCCCTGATATTGAGACCGACATTTTGGAAGGAGGAGATTAATTTCTTGAGGTCCGAAGTTGGTGGGGGGATGCTCTCATTAGCAGCAGCTTGGCTTGCACTTCTTGCATCTCTTCTTCCCAGCTTCACTGGCCACCACGGCCCTCCAAGCTATCATGATAATCCAAGGGAACTAATTTAGAACATCGCAAATCTCTACTAATGCCATACTAACTGCTAGTTGAGTTCAGACGATTGACTATCACGACGGAGTCTCGCGCGATAATTGCCAACAAATCGGCGCATGAGATGATGCCTGGGCACACACCCTCCACGGCAGACTTAACTTGGTCGACCACTTCGAACCCTTGCACTGAATGGACGTTCGGAGCAGCATTTTTCTCTCCGGTGAAAGTAGGTGTATCGTCCAGAAGAATTGATCCGTCGCAGCCCTGATACAGCGCGACATCAAATGCGTTTTAACAGTAATATGTATTCTGTCAGCTATAGGTGTGCAGTCTGATTGCTGAAGGGCGTTACATTATGACTTATTGTAGCTCAGGCTTTCATATTTAGTTCCTTATGATCTTGGGACAATGTACTAGACGTTGAGCTCTTGCCACTTTGAACGATGAACAACCATTTAGCCAACTTAAATCCGGAGTGCCTTAGAAGGTGGGGTTCACGTATAACAAGCGAATTTACCTATTGAAGCCGGCTAGCTAAATGGTTGCATAGAGATATGAGATGGTACCAACAAACATTGCCTTATGCTATTTGATTCATAATGACCATACTGCACAGCACTGGATCATGAAAAGAGTTACACCAAGTGAACTGGTTATAAACCATACTGCATGATGCATGCACGCACGATGTATCACACATACGAGAACGACGAGTGCAGAGTTAGAATAATGCATGTCGAAAGATTCTGAAACGCAACAAAGTCTGGAAGGGATTGAAAATTTACATTGACGAAGCAATCGTGGAAGAACAAGCGAAGCAGTGAGGCACCCATCTGAGCCTCCCTCGCTATAGCTGCTCCCACGGTTAGCCTCACCGTGGGGAAGAGGACGGGGCAAGATCTGGTGTAATAGTCGAAGGAAAGTTGCGCACTCGCGCTTGCACCGATCAAGACCCAAACGCAAGCCGAAGTCAAAACGGCCATTGAAAATGAAGCACTAGTGGTAGAAGAAGCCATTCGGTAACACTTGAAGAGATACCAAACCGATGAACCGGGTGCGAGGTGAGCTTGGTGGGCTTGGGATTTTATAGCGAGGAAGAGATGATCTTCAGGACATTTGAGTACTCTAGATTCATGATAGTGCATGCCCATTTCCTTCTTTTAATAAATGAATGAATTAAGAGATAGATCATTGAGAAAGGAATTTGGATGGTAGATCGTTTAAGCAAAACTTTTGGTGAAGTATGGCCAAATGAGGCCACAATTATATGGAGTTGGTAGATACTTCGATAGCCGTCTCTGTGAGGGGACCTAGTAATTTAATGAGACCTCCACAATAATGTCGCATCAACTACACATAAGAAGAGATTATTCATGGGATAGGTAAATCGGAGGCAGAAATTTACTTCTAAACTTGAGGAAACTTGCGGCTCTTTTTTTACCACCTCGAATTCAATTTGGAGAACCACTCAAAAGCCATCTACCCTCTGCAATTAGTGGATGTAGATTTTACTTGTTATAGGCGAATCTTTATTCTCTACAGCAACAAGATGCTCTAGCAACGTAAGATGGGGCCCAAAAATAAGTTCCTAATTCGAGCAACATTAATTCCAAAGATTATAAAAGTGGATACAAGACTATGTACCTAAGATAGAGATGGCTGTTACTGATGTAGCTAATAGTCCACCTACATTCATAACAATGGACATAGTGCAAATCAATGTTCGGCTCAGAAAGGAAGGCAATAACTTCCTAGTTTTCTCAGCTGGCTAAATGATAGAGAAGTTCATATTAATATTGCAACCATACTAGCAGCTATAATTTTTGGTACAAAGATGTGTGTAATAAGTAATGGAGCATTGTTGAAAATATGTCTTGAGTTTGCGCTCGAAAAAAAAGTTACTTAACTTTAATGTGTATAATATTTGAGTGGTTATCTAGTTTGAAAAGGTTTCCTGTTTTGGATTCACATTCTTGTCTATATAAGAAGTGGGCCTTATTTGTGAAGAGAAATCTAAGAGGAGCTTATGCTTGTAAATTACATCACGAGTTTGAAGCCGTGAAATTCTTGTGTTAAGATTTATTGTAATTCCTTTGTGAGATTGATAAATTATTTCGTTAGGAATTATGAGGGCTAAATACAAAGAGTGTTTGAGTGACTCGAGTGTGATTGTAATATCCGTTATGTCTGTTGGGAGCGCGCAATAGAAGTCCAATACCTTCACTCGGAGAGATCGCCAAGAGGTAGCCCAAGTCCAAGCCTCTTAATATATCCAGTCGAATCCATTTTCACTAAAAGGCTTAAGTTAATGAGTTATGGGTCAATTAGGATATATTAATTGTTTCGCACCATACCAATTTTCTAATATGGAAACTCTCTTACATAAATCACCCGTAGATATAAACAATTTCCCCTTCATGTCTGTTAGGTTTTGCTTTTCCTTACTTCAGGTATCCTTCTGCATTAATTAATCTCAACTTGAATCTTCAAAGCGCTTCTTCATTCCTGGGCCCATGTTGCTACACCATAACACCTATCACTCGGAAATCATTTTGGTCACTAGATTCCTTTTTTGAGATGTTCACCAAGCACCGGAACAAATTAGGGCTCCACCAATCTATCATTGGCTCTAATATCATGTGTTGTAAAATTAATGCAAAAACGCTAACGGGATCTTGCAATTAAATCAACGCGAAAACACAAGAGAAACGATATATATTGTTGATATATACCATGACAACCAAGATGCGATATATCTAGCATATAGTCTAATTTATTACGAGCGAGCGAAGCATATTGATACTAGGTACAATTTCATTCAAGATGTCTTAGCGAAGGGTAAGGTTGTTGTGAAGAAGATCGTGACAGCAAAGAATCCGGCAGACATGATGACTAGGCTCCTTCTTTTGGCAAAGCTCAAGCTTTGTTCGGGCTCAATTAATGTTTGTAGAGTGAGCACTTGTTGGGGCGTTGGGGAAGCTGGTATGGATGATGAACACTATGACTTGATCATTGAAACCTAATTGGCAACCCATTTAGTTATATATCGTATAAAAAATTTAGAGATCGACCTCGATCCCTTATAATATATATAGACACACACATATTAAAATTACATTAGGCATTATGCACTCTATAACATTGCATTTAGGACTAAACTTATCCCATTTCAAATTGTTCTTAAAAAAATAAAAAAATAACCTGGCTGTGAAGGGGAGAGATGAGGCTTAACAAAAATTCAAAGTGTGAGCGGAATTCGGTGGATTTGGGTTAGGAATTTAAAAAAAATAAATAAAAAAAATTGAATTTTGAATTTGAAAGCGGAGCCATTTCCGTTTGAAATTCTGCATGGATTAGACGATTCCCCTTTCTTCAGATGATCAGCACAGCATCGGTAGAGCAAAATCTGCTATTATATTGGGAATAAGTTTTTGTTGATGAAAACCTCCGTCTCTATAGATAGAGAACCGGGCAACTCACGAAAAGGAGGGGAGGCGATCGTAAAAGGGGTGCAACGTTTAGAGAAAAAGAAACAACACGGAACCTTTGCCACCTCTCTCGGTCGCTCCAGTGATTTCAAGCAATCTTATTTACTACGAGCGTTGGAAGTTCGACGCGCCGCTGCGCTTGTTGCCGCTCCTCCGCCTGCACTGCCGCAGCAGCCTCGGCAAAGCTCAGTAGCTTCGACTGAGACTCTACCGTGCCAAATCGCGCGCCACTCTCGTGCCCGTGACTCCTCGGATGAACACTACAATTCAGGCGAATCTCCACAAAGGTTCCAGTCCTCCCGACGATCTCTAGGTGCATTGCGGTTCTACTCCAGTGGTGGTGCCACCATGTTGTCACCTAAATTTTTGCACAAAGATCGTTTCTACGTATTTTCGAAAAAACTAGAACTTAGTTTTCCATAAAAATATTTCATGTCAAATTCTCGCATATAGATTACCTAGGCATTTAATATAGTTTTTAAATATAATTATTTTTCTTGATTTCTACTTTCCAAAAAAGAGAGAGTTGGGGCCGAGGATATGAATGTGACTAGCCAAGCCCTGGGGTCGGATTGCAATTGAACCAGCCAGTGTGGGCCAAAATGTAATTCTCATAAGTTGGGCGACCAATTTGCAAATTTTACAAAAATTGCTCAAACCTGTGAATAATAATTTTTATCATTTTGACTCCTAATTAAGGTTGAAACTGAGATTAGGCCAGGTCGCATTGATCAAATAAAGCCAAAAGGACCAAATTGAATCAAATTGGTCATTTCGGGTAAGAAGATGGCCAACTTTGACAGACTTTCTTGCAAAATCGAGCTAAGTGATGGATTAAGGCACTCAAACCAGCTGCCAGACCTCCAATCCACGATTTGGTAACAATTTGAAGCTGCTGAGCAAGCAAATTTGTGGCCCCACCACATCCTACTCGGCTGCCCAATCAGCATTATATCTGGTTGAGGTGGAAGAAAAATCACCAGGTGTGCAAATTGACTAAAATTGGCTATGGATAAGCTGATGAAGGGGCGCGAAATTCTCAACTAAATTGGCTAGCACAGCAGCGGTACAAGTTAAAGAGTTGGTGAAGCAACTCAGTTGGCATCCTTGGTGTGTGGGCAAGTAACGACTAAAAGCTGGCTTAAGCTCTCTGAAGCACGTTCTTTAAAGGCATTAAAGGTTGGAGACAAGAGGCACTTGGCAGAGGTCTCCGCTACCCCCAAAAACTACTGAAAAAAACAACTTCAACTCAGAAATTTCAGACGGACCCATTGAGAGAAAACCCGATTTTCACAAACTTTCAGCCAAAGCTAGCCAAAACCTTCAACTTGAGAGCAAAAGTACACTTGAAGATATTTCCAACCATAGGTCGCACGTCCCAAATGGAGATAGAGAAGGCCTCCTAGAGCCCCCGAAAAATACTCTCTGGGGGGGTAGGGAAGAAGTTTGAAATTTTTCGAAGTGTGTGTTGGAGGGTTGGACGTGAGCGAGATTTTAAAGGTGACAATTACCAAAAAAAATCTCAATCCTATTTAAATTGTGCCAATTTAGCCCTAAACAATTTTTTTGATAATTGAATCCTAGACCTTTTGCACTTGTGCTAATTCAGTCTATTTTGACCAATTTTGGCAGTTGTCTTACATGGCGCGGCAGTGTCGATGCAAAATCTTTTAAATAATATTTTAATATTTTTCGATTTATTTATTTATTTTCCCTTCTTTTTTCTTTTCTTCTTCCCTTCCTTCTTCCTCCGGTCGGTTGCCGGACCTATCGGCCAGAGGCGAGGGCATACGAGGTCAATATTAAAATATTGCTGGTGGAATCGCTGGACTCGCCTAATTGTTGGTGGGCATGAACGATATGATCTCGAAAGAGGGCTTATTGCTGCAGGGCTTCTTCGCGGGCTCCGCGTGCATGGTGAACGACGGATTGAACAGAGACGATTCCTGCTTGGCGGAGAATCAAAATTAGCATCGCAATCCGCCATAGAAAATCGCAGGAAGCGGGGAAATTGACTTGACGGTGCAGTTTCGGCAAATCAAGAGCTCGATAGGTGATGATGATGATCGAGAAAATAGGGAGCTTGGGAGGGTTCGTTTTGACAGTTCACCTTGCGAGGCCGATGTGCAATCGAAATAAAATGGCGGAGAGACGAAATGAAGAAGGCGGAGGAGAAAATTTGTGGAGGAGCTGCTTTGAAAGGCGTAGGCACAGATGCAAGAAGAAGATGATGAAGATTATTAAGGATTTTCCAAATTTTCGTCAATTTGGGAGGTGGGGGCTACACATACAAGCAATTTTCTTTAAGAAATTAAAAAAATTAAAAAAATAAATAGGTCTAGTTTCAATTTATGGAACCGGGAATCAGATTGGCGCTCTCGGGAATAGCCCAAATCGATCAGTCCGGTCCGGTCCGGTCTGGGCGGTTCTTGAATTGGTCGGTTCCCAGTTTGGTCGGTCCGTGTTGCTCACCCCTAATTCTGTTGGGGACTTGGTTATAAATATTAGTGGACTTAGGCCGTAAAAAGCGTTTGGTTGATTACTAACTT